CGCGGGGACGCCGGCCGGCTCCTCCCCCGGGCCCTGCTCCGAGGCGTCCGCGGTGCCGCTCCGTGGGCTCCCACGGGGGTCTTGCAGGAGGAGCGGGACGGGGCCGCAGCTGCCGGGTCAGCCCCGGTGCTGGACGGGGAGTGCGCGGGGCCGGAGTAGGGCTTCCCCTCTGCCTTCCTCTTTCATTTGCAGCCTCCAGTCCGTCAGGCCCGGGAGGCTGTGAGTCAGAGGCCGTGCCCCGCAGCCCGCTGCTCCCTCGCTACCCATGCCCCTTTCCTGTCAGGATTTGTCCGGGCACATCTAGTCCCGCCTCGTGCTCTAGGCAGGATCGTCCGCAGCGAAACCTCTTCTTCTCACACACAACTACCAGGCTCCGTGCCAGGAGCGTTGGAAACACCCTTTTATTTGCCACAGGTGGGGGGGAGGACAAGGGCACTGGCGATGTTCTGCCGCTAGGACTGCAGAAATCTGCTAAAATGCCCTGGCAGAAGAGGAAGGCACCGGGATGCGGAGGAAAGAGTCTCCCCCCCCCCCGCCCCCCAATGCCACACTGATCATGGGGTGCAATTCCTTCTTGATCCCAACTGCAGAGATTGGGCTGACCCTAAGCAGAGGAGCAAGAAAGACCCTCTAGCCAGGAACCACAGCAGCAGCATATCCCAATTCAAATTCCCATGCTTAGGTGTGTGGCCAACACCCAGTGCTTCTGAGGAAGGTTAACCTCCCAAAATAGATACCAATAGCAACAGGAGAGGAAGAATTCCTTCCTGGCCCCACAGGACAAACAGCAACGCCCAGAGGCACGGATGGGATAAGTGGACACCCGCCACTCGGATCTACAACTTGGGGGTCACAAACATGACTCCATGCATCACACCCTGCCGGGAGAGCTGGACCATCCCTTTCTGGGATCCTGTCTCCTTTGCAAACAGAGCTCCCTATGGATCGGGCATGGTTAGGGAAATCCATTTCGTCAGAGCTTCCCTGGCATTGGCCATCCTCGGTTCAGGGTTATCGGAGGATGCATCCTTGCTTTTATTGAACTGTTCTATTATTTCTGCTCCTACAGCGATTCCCCCTCACCTCCATTTACTCCCAGACACCTACCTTCGAGAAGTGCGCTGGTTCCAATCTAGGATCTGTCACAGATGAGAAAGGAAATTCAAGTGTCTCTTCTGACTCCTTCCCATTTTATATACTAGGTGGGGTTAAGAGGTAAAGAAATCAGTGTGACCGAGAGACAATGCTCAGAGGCAATGAAATTGGGTGTGCCCTGCTACGTCCTGTGGATGTTATGAGACTTGAAGAGAAGTCTCATTGATTTATCTAAAAACATCTTCAGCAGTGCAGACATGCTCAAGGAAACGGTCCTTTTTTTGCTAATGCCCTTAGCTCCAAGTATCACATGGACTAGTGGAATGATCACATTTTGGGAAGAGAGAATATAATCTTCTCTGACACTGACTTTGTTCGGCCTTTGGTGTTTCATCTAACCTCAGTGTGGGTCAGTTTTCCCATCTGTGAAAAATGCTACTTACCAGTACTTTGTGGACTTTTTGATGGGTATTGGAGGCTTAATTCATGTTTGTAATACTTTGAAGATGGGAATAACTTTGAATCATTCCTACTTTGAAAGGTGCTAGTCATTTTAAATCCATGCTTATTATGATCAGTACAAAAAATGTACTTGCAATTGCCACAGTATAGTAGTCTGCTGTGATAGATGCATGCTATACAGAGAAAATTGCATGGCAGAGAATAGGAATTCTTGCACTTTTTGTGCAAATTAACATCACAAATACATGCTTGATTAATGAAGTCTTGTATATCACACTATTACACAGGATTCCGTTGACCGTATCAGTTGCTTTCTGAAGCAGCCTTCCTCTCTACATCTTGGTTTAATGGTGTTGATAGGTATTTTCGATTGCTCCACACCTCTCTCTAAATGACTCAGCCAGTGCTGCAGCAAACAGAAATGTACTTGTGCCATGTGTAGAATGCAATTGGGAAAGGTGTCGTTTGGTTAGGCTGGAAGGAAAAAAAAATCAACGGTTCTGCTATAACTGAAAGACAGCACAAAAAATAAATCATGTTGAGGTTGACACGTGCACCCCCCTCTAACTGCCTTGTATATACAGGCTACATATTTTGTTCCCACCCCTTATTTAGCTAGTTTATGAAAACAACTCAATAGAGCTGAGTTCACTGATGTTTTATTTTTTTAATTGTGCTCTTCTCTTTGGGAAACAATTGTCATACAACTTTACTCAGAGGCAAAGCATGAAAGTAACATGCTTTATTTAAGGGGCTGGATGACTCAGGGGTCTACAAAGGGATACAGAGGTTTCAAGATTAAGTCAACCAGGGCATGTCTACAGAGACACTTTACTGCACAGCAGACTAATTTATTGCTCAGTAAATCATCACAGTTTACCCATACAGGCAATTAGGGTGTAGTAGACTGATTTACTGTGCTGCCAGATAGTCCTGTCAGGTACAAGTGTTATCCAGCAGCACGGTAAATTACTGTGCTTAAACACACATGTAGGGTGACATCAGGATTAGTTTACTTTGGTCCAAATTGAGCTGAAGTATATTCAGTTGCATTAATTGCATGTGTAGACACACCCCAAGTGGGTCCTGACTTACAGCTGGTATCATCCAGTTGAATGATGCACCTCTGAATTAGTTAGTCTATAAGGTACAAGTTTACCTTGCCTTCTGCCTATTATCCAGTTGAGTGTTCAGTAGCTAATATAAACATCTTTTCCATAGCTATACTGTGACTTCTTTCTTTCACTTTTATTATTGACTCCAGTTAATCTGGAATTTAAAAACATTAAATGAATACCCACCCAGGGTCAATATAAAGCTACAGTACAATTTAAAAACATTAGTTTGAATGCAACTCTTATCATCATGTAGATTTCAGAAGATAGCCCAGGAAAATTACCCCTATCTTTGATAGCTAAGTAAAACTGTGAAAATGCTGATGACACAAAGGTTATGTACTGATTGAGGACTGTCATCCCTCAGAAACAGTTTTTTTAAAATCAAATGGGAAATGGATCCCAGATTTCAGAAAGCAGGGTGTGGGAGCAGCAACCTGCATTGCAGGGGTGGCTACACCCCCAGCTCCCAGTCTCCTCCCAAAACCAAGGTGGGCAGACCACACTGCTGGAGCAGCAGCACGGGACTTAAGTCCCTCAAGCAGTTAAGACTCTTCCTTCCCCCCTCCCTTCTCCTCTCTGCTCAGTGGCATGTTCCCTCCCCTCCCTGCTGCTGCTGCTCTTCTACTGTCTCCAGCTGACCCAAGGGCAGTGGGGAGGCTCCACAGCTACTCCTGCCCCACTGCATCCAGGCAGCACATGGACCCAATCTTGGCTAGAGACAGCAGCAGCAGTAGCAGGTGGGTTCCCTTCCTCTGTGCCTGCTGTCCGGATGGCAGGGAACACAGGGGTGGGGTGGAGACTGGGCAGGAAGGAAGGACCCATCTCTTGATGCTGCTGTCTCTGGCTGAGCCTGGCTTTGCATGGAGCCTGACTGGTGTGAATGGGAGCGACTCTGGAGCAACCCCCCTTGCCCCTACCTTGGGGGCAACTAGAGACAGCAGTAGCGGTGTGTGGGGGAGACAGGAGGTACTGCTGAGCATAAAGATGGAAGGGGGAGAGGGGGTGGAATTCTTACTTGTTTCAAGGACTTAAAAAATTTCCCCTGCTGCTGCTTCCACAGCATGGTTGACTGAAAGCGGGGTGTGTCACACCACTGCATCCCCTCTGGACCTGCCCCTGGAAATGGTCATAAATTTCTTCCCAGCTCTGGATGAAACACTGGCTTTCATAGGGCCTGCAGATAGTTGCCTGAATATGGATTTTCCCTATTACTTTTGTTGTTTTGTCTACTGAATTCTTTATACCAGCATTGCAGTCCTTTCTAGTTAATAAAAGAGGGAACTCCTATCCAGAGCTGGTCCTAGGGAAAATGGTGCCTTGGGCAAACTTGTATTTTCGCACCCCCCGGTACCCCCTTCCTCCCCCAAGGTGCTGCTGCAGGCAAAGGTAGGGGGCAGTCTGGCAGGGAGGTAGAGCAGCATGGTGTGCCAAGCAGAAGAGCAGGAAGGCACCACTGCTGCTGCCCACACTGCCCAGCCCAGCTCCTCCTCAGCAGCGACTGGGTTGGGGCAGGCTGGGCTGAGCACTGCTCCTCCTGCCTGGGGCAGGGATCAGCCAGGGATGGGAGAGAGCAAGGCTGTGTGTGTGGGCTGCTCACATGTGTGTGCATGTGTTCCCCCCACCCCAACCACAGCACCCTGGGCAGTCACTCATGTCACCCACCCCTAAGGCCAGCTCTGCTCTTTTCTCCCCTTTACAGTTTCAAGATAAGGAGAAACAAAGATGTATTGACCATACAACAAATACAAAATAGTCCAAAAGCAACTTTCCAGGAGCGATCAAACATTGGAACAAGCTACCTGGAGAAACTATGGAATTCCTATCCTTGGAAATTTTCAAAAGCAGGTTAGGTAGACACCTAGCTGGAGTGGTATAGTCAGGAATGATCCTGCCTTGTGTAGGGAGCTAGACTAGATGACCTTGTGAGGTCCCTTGCAGCCCTGCTTTCCTATAGTCCTATACTCCATTCTTGCCCTTCATCCTCAATGCTCAGGACTGAGGGGATATATTCAATGTATGCATCCTACTCCTCAGTTTCTTCTCAACTGCAGAGCTCCTATTGATATGACTTAAGGAAGAAGAAAAAGAAGGGTGACTGTGAGTGTGGACAATGCATCTTGAAGAACTTCAGTAACCTCCTTTTTTTATTAGAGTAACTGTCCACACACACATTTTCCTACGTAGGGGACTCCAAAGCATAATTCACCATCATTTGGAGGTAAATCTTGGAATTCCCTAAGTGAAAAAAAGATGTGCTCTAGCAGCATCACCCCATGAAATCTCCCTCACTGCACAATGCTTAGCAAAGGCTTGGATTGTACTTCACACTGCTGTCTTACAGATGTCTGTTAGACAAACCCCATGCAAGAAAGCTACAGACATAGCCTCAAGTGCAGTGGACCAAAGCAAATGGTGACTCCACCTTGGCAGTCTCATAACACAATTAAGTACAATCTGAGATCTAGCCTGACAGTCTCTGGGGACAAATTGCTGTGCCTTTCAATCTTTTGCCTATGGCTACTATCACAAGAGGGCAACAGGCAGCTGGGCCTAGCAGTTAGGTTTGGGGTCAGTAACCTGACTCCAGACCCACATGTCAAGGCAGTCTGGAGCTGGTGGTCAAACCAGAATCCAGATGTGGTCAGGAGCAGGTCAAGGTCAAGAAGTCAGTATCAGGAACTGGGAGTCACAGTCAGGAGCAAGTCAAGCTGAACACCGATACCAGGAGTGCAGGAATAGTGAACAAAAGTAGGGACCAGAGTCAAGGCAAGGTGCTGGGTTCAGAGCAATCTGCAAGCTCATCAGATTTGTTGAGCAGATAGGTCATCACTGTCTGTTCTGATGGTTTTATGGCTTTGTTGGGACTTCCAGTCAAGGTAGAAGCCCATCATTGGTAACCAGGATGGCTCATCCCCAGCTGGGGCATCTAATGCAATCCTAGGTCTAGGTGGATAGCTGGGTTTTTGACTTCACCAAATGCTGGAGTCCCTCCCTGTTACTAGAGGGTGGGCTATGTATTATGCTACAAAAGGGATACTCAACCTCTGGGGCTCCCTACAGGCCTGGAAATTTTCCAGTAATGGCCATTAATAAGACTACCATCCACCCTGCTAAATTCCCAAACCCCAGTATCTGCTCTGCCAGTCAGAGCCAAACTATGCCCCCCTCCCCCATGCCCCTCTCTGCATCTGGATCAGGGCCTGGGTCATGCTCCCTTCTCCCTCATGGGGCTAGGTTGGGCCAGGCCTTGCCCCCTTCCCTTCCCTTCCCTTCCCTTCCGGGAGGGCTGGGTTGGGGCCTGACCACACTTACTTCCCTCCACAGGGCTGGATCAGGGCCAGCCTGTCCCTCACTCCACTCCACAGTCAGATGGCACCCATGGTACCTGAGTGAGACTATCAGCTGGATCTGGCCTGTGGATGGATGGGGCACTGCCAATCCTTCCCACTGGACAAAAAAGGTTGGGCACCACTGGGCCACCTTGTTTACAGTTCTGATGTAAGATGGGAAATGGATTTTAGGCTCCTTCCCCAAAGCCAAAAGCCCTTTCCAATATCGGGGGACAGCTACAGCTATACTTGGGACAATGGAGAGCACAGGGAAGGAGATGGGAGCCATAGGTTCAGAAGAAAGAATCCACAAGGGGACACTAGAGAGAACTTCCAAGATGGGTCATTGCTCCTTGAAGGCATTTTAGGGAATCAATAGATGCTGCCCAGATGAATTTGTCCAGAGGTGTGAGGTAACCAGGGACAAGTATAGGCTTGACAGTTGCAGAGTTCCCTACGTTGAGCTTCCTCCTCCTGGTGACACAGATGGTATCAAATGGGGAGCCACTCACCACAGCTATAAACAAGTATGGAAACTTTCAAAAGGGTTTAATCCCATGTAAATAAAAGGCTAGAAGCCCTCTGGATTTTAAGGCAATGATAGAAAGCCTCAGCCTCAGAGGCATAGGGTTGGGAAAGATGATCAGGAGGGCCATCTTCTAGCTGAGGTGGAATTCAGAGTATTTTCAGCAGAAACGCCACCTTGTCCAAATAGAAAATTGTTTATGGGGGATCCACCATAACAGCTTGGTTCTCACTCGCTCTTCTTGCTGAGGTAACAGCCGTCAGAAATGCTACCTTATTGGAGAGATTAAAAAGTAAATTGATGTCATCAGTTTAAATAACAGGTATGTTAAAGATTAAGGACCAAATTTAGGTCCCATTATAGAACTGAGATCTTGATACAGAGGAAAACCTTGGTGGGGAGGATGGGCAAAATGGCTTTCAGAAGGCAGGGTAGCTATACACTTTTATAGACTAAGATGTATGTATGTATGTCCATACTGTATTTACTCAAATATAAGATGACCCTGAATATAAGATGATGTCCAATAATTAGATTCTATACATGGAAAATTGGAAAATATGGAAAAACTGGAAAATGTTATAATTTTTCAGGTATTGAATCTAAGTATTGGACAGTTGTCTTGAATCCCACTCCCTTACAAAACCAGTGGCTGGGGTGGGGGTGATAGAGCGCCCCATTGTCTTTTGCTTTGCCCACTTCTCCCCCCTGCAGCCTTCCTCCCCTCTGCCACCTCCCACTCCCAGCTCTCCAGTCTGCCTTTCTCCTCACTGCCCCGTCTCTGCCACTTACCCCCTCAACTTCCCAGTCTGCCTCTTTCCTGGCACCCTACTTGCTGTCAGACCCTGCTCAGGCTTCTTTGTCCCAGAGCACAGCACTTGGAAGCCCAGCCCTTACCTGAGCATGCAGCAGTGTTGGTGCTGCTGGTTGGCTGGACAGGGGAAGGAGTTTCCATGTGCTCTGTACCCAGGAGCAACCCCAGCCTGAGCTAGAGGCAAGCTGCACCTGACAGTACAGGGGAGGATTTGGGAGCGGGAATGACACAGAAGCTGCAGAGAGGGGCAGGAGGCTGCTATGGGTCTGACTCGCCCTGATTTGGGCTCAGGGCCAGAGTCAGAGCTGCAGCAGCCAACTGCTTCCTCCTCTGCATTGTATTTGAATATAAGATCAGAGGCATTTTCCCCCATGCTGACTGGGGGTGAAGAAACCTCGTCTGACATGCAAGTAAATATGGTGGGGGAGGGGGAGGGAGAGGAAGCTTTCATGAAGCCAAGTTCACTTCATAATGGCTTTATTTGCAAGAGTTAGCTTGCTGGCATCAGAAAGAGCATGCTTTGCGGAATCTCATACTCCTTGATGGTGTGGGTAGTACAACCCTATTCAAAAGAAATATTATAAGACGATTCAATAAAATCTTCCCTAGGGAAAATCCCCATTTAGCATTACCTGCAAACCTGCTTGCGAAAGGAAAAAAGAAATTATATTGTCTAGAAAGAAATACTGTTAACATATCCATAGTTTCATAGTTTCTAGGGTCGGAAGGGACCTGAGCAGATCATCTAGTCCGACCCCCTGCCATGGCAGGAAAGAGTA